AGATTTAGACATTATAAATCTTATTAAAGCAAACACTTATTTTGCTCAGAGAATCCAAAAATGCAATAATATATAGGGTATTTCATTTAGAAAAACACAACTTTGATACTTTTATTGCTTTTGGGACACTCTGTACATTACTAAAATATTTTTAAAATGTGCACCCGATAGGCGTCTGTCGATTCATCAAATGATACTTTGCAAGAAACAAACGGGCTAGCAACGTCCGTGCCGTATAGCGTGAATAACCCTGTATAAGTTGTTGATTAATATGAAAGTTGCGTAGTGATTGCAGAGCGTTTGTATAATCAAATTTTTGGCGGCCACTTGGTGTGTTTTGTATGTGTGGATACTGTTTAATAAATATAATTAGTCAGTGCCGTTTAATGTGGAGATTTTAGTTCTAATTGAGACATTTTCTCAAATACTCTGTATAAAGTGGCAACTTGTTAGGATGTATTGGTGTATTTTCATTTTCAAAAATGAGTTTGACCGATTAATTTGCGATTAAATAAAAGCGCTCTACCATGGATTAACGTTATTAATACACGAAATTACCTGTTTGCTGGTTTGGTCCCAAAAAAGGAGGCTCTAGGACAGCTTCAAAAAACTCGAGAGTTTCAAATTCTAACAAATGGCGCACACTCAGGGGTACCAACCTTTGTGTGACAATGCGCACATTTTATCTGAGTAGAAAAGGAGAGCTAGCCGGAAATATTTTGCGGCTACACAGCGGTACTCTGTAATATGTGGTAGCAATTAGCATGCACATAGAAGTAAGGAGTAAATTAATAAGATGCCCATGCTAGCAAGCAGCTAGCATGGAGAGAATGCGATGCTATGGCATACGGATGCCGGAGCTGACAAATTCTTAGAGAAGATTACAAGTTTTAAAGGATAACTCCCGAAAACTCGTAGTACAAAAAGGGGGTTTTTTAGTTGGTAAGAATCCAACACTACCCAGGGTTCGGAACACTGGGTGTCTTCGCGAAGATTTTTATTCCTCCAGCCGCCGGGCAACCCAAAAAAAACATTTTGTCAAAAGCAGCATTTTTCGTTAGCATGCTTCGTTTTCGAGTAAAAAAAATAAATGTCAAAATCGTTCATTTTTCCTGTGCACACCCCCAAACATTTTGGAGCAAAAATTTTTTTTCCGATTTTTTTAAAAATTTTTTGCTGGACTATGCAGCAGACGCACAAAACACATTTTTTCAAACCAGTTCAGAAGTTTCCCCAAAAAATCCCCCACTGATCGAGCGGGGTAAAACGGAAAACTCACCACAGGCTCTTATGGGAGCTGGAACTTCAAGCCTTAATAACTTCCCCAAATGGCCCCATTTTCACACACATAGTTTTTCCGGTATATTCGAACAGATTTAAGGAGATTTGGCAACGATGGGAATTCAGGGGGGAACGGTCCCCATTTAAGACCCATGCAAAATGGGTTCGAGGCTAAAAAGTGTCAGAATCGCGGGTTTTTCGAAATTTATGAGCGACATTAGTATTTTCGGACGGTTTATGGCCTAACAAGTGAAAATCTGTTAAATTCGACTGCAAAAAAAATTCCCAGTTTTGGGAAATTTGCCCTCGAAAATTGCGCGAAAACCCAAAAATGCCCAATAGCTCGCTTAAAAAGCACTTTAGAGGAAAAATGAATACCAACTTTTTTGTGTAGCTGGGCACCCCCTATCTTATGACGTTTTCCGAATTGTGCCAAATCTTTCAATTTTCGAGATATTTGGGATTTTTTGGAAACAACGTTTTTGGGATTTATTCGAAAACTCTCCGCGACAAGCGTTTGGAAATATTTTGCGGGGATACCTTGGGACAGTGTGGACATTTTATCAAGAGCAGCATTTTTTGCTAGGATGCTTGGTTTTCGAGTAAAAAAAATAAATGTCAAAATCGTTCATTTTTCCTGGCCCCCCAAAATTTTGGAGCAAAAATTTTTTTTTCGATTTTTCCAAAACTTTTTTGGTTTTCAAAACGGGGGACACTCAGGGGTACCAACATTTGTGTGACAATGCGCACATTTTATCTGACTAGAAAAGGAGAGCTAGCCGTCCAATCGGTCAGCATTCCTTTTTTGTTTCGCGTCTATTGGACGTTTAATGTATTGAAGAAATTTAATATTAAATCAACGAATATTAATTAATTAAGTCCGATGTATTGGATTCAAAGCAAAAAAAACCCTGTAAATTAGGTAATTTTTAATTAACCCAGATAAACATTTCCGCAGATTTTGGGTTAGCGTGGTTTTCAGGGCGACAGAATGGCAACCCTGTAATTTAAATTGGGCCTTATTGGGTTTAGGGCGGCCCTTTTGGGCTCTATTTTATGCCCATTCAGCCAAGAAGCAGTTTGGGGAATCAAAAAACTGCAATTAACTGGGCAAAGGGTCTAAAATAAAGTCAAAAGGGGAAGTAAACCACAATAATCAGACTGAAAGCGCCCTCCGCGGCCGGTGTGAAAGCTTCGTAAAAACGACGATTGTCCGATGAAAAGGGATAGTATTGCGCTACATTTGTGCGATGATTATTAGTGTTTAGGCACCATTGATACCTAAATCGTTCAGAGACGTTGTCACCTCCGGTTGTAGTGGGTTAATTCTTTAGCTGCTGTTGTATGCCCTTCGGGAAGCTTTGCGTAAGTTGCTAAAGGCCTGTTGCGAAATGGTTTTAGCAGACAAGAACGAAACGGTCCGAAATGGGCGGCGCAGTCGGGGGCCGAGCCCCCAAAACGGAAACGTGCAACTTGAGTCCACTAGCGAAGAAGAAAGCCCGGGTATGTAACCATGTAATGATGTGAATGTTCAATACTCAGACAAGCAGCCAGATTTTCTAAAAAGTAACGGGAAATTTCGGAGCCTCAATACGTGAAATTTGGAGGTTAACGTGGGGGCGGAGGCTCAACGCTGGGTTCTCGTGTTCCCATGTGCTCATATACAGGCACTAGTCCCCTTTCTACTCAAATGAGCCTGCCTCAAAAGTTTTAGGGTTGTAAAAACGGTTTTCATCCCTTATCCAAACCATGTGCTACCCTTTCACAAGATGGAGCCGAACGTTAGTTGTGTGTTCAATTTTCAGTTCCAGTGGACAAAATACGGGTGGGGCGCGATTTCCAAGCAACGTGCCCCGAATTGCAGCCCGAGGCCCAAAGGAGGCCCGAACAGCTGGCCGATCGAGCTCTGCTAGTTTGGTCTCCGACTGAAGCCATTCCCGACATCAAGCGTAAGCCCCTCGAGACGTCATTATGCGGGCGTAGCAATTTAACATTTTGTCTAATTCCAGTCGAGAACTACATAGTACTGGCCAAAGACAAGTATGGGTACAATGGGGAGCAGGCTTTGGGGATGCTTTTTTGGCATAAACATGATCTGGACAGAGCCATGTTGGATCTCGCCAATTTCACGCCTTTCCCCGACGAATGGTCAGTGGAGGACAAAGTATTGTTTGAACAGGCCTTCCAGTTCCACGGCAAAAGTTTTTATCGAATCAGGCAGATGGTACGTATAATTCGACAAGCTTCACCAAATATCCTATGTGAAGTCTTACTAGGACCATCGTGGAAAACTTTTTTCTCTGACGTTTCGCAAGCACAAGGGGCTTGCATCCTAAGGGCTGGTTTTTTCCACGATGGTCTAAAAATCCGAAAAACACCTATCGATCAAACGATGGCTCCAAATACATTGACTTTCCTCTTTCTCCATTCTTCGAATGTCCAGAACAAAATCTTTGTTTTGTGAATACAGTAAAGTCCGCTTATAATGAACCCGGTTATAGTGAACTTTCGGTTAAATTGAACTTTTTTTCCTTTAATTGAAACGTCGTCCATAAAGACCAACGTATTTTTTTACTTATTTTATATATATATTTTTTACTTATTATTATTTTCAAAATTATCTGCACATGAAAAGGTTGACAAGGGACTTATTAAGTGGTTTACTCAAAAAAGACAAGAAAACGTTCCCATAAGTGGCAGTGTTTTGC